GGAAAGAAATATGTGGAGGGCAGGATAGAGTGACATGCAAGAGCAGGGGAAAGGTGTATGACGGGTCTCACAGATTTCTAAATATTCACCGCTGTGAGTGGCCACCCCTAAAGACCGGACAGGACCGGTTCGGGTGTGGGCTATGGAAGCACCGCATCCAATTTTCGTAGTCACAGTTGCTGCATCGAATGGCACGGTGCAGACAGATGTCACAGGCTACATGTACATGCTAGGAACACAGAGGCACGTCGACCGCAATTATAGAGGCATTGCCGTTCCCTGTCTACAAATTGGACATGACATGTCGGGGTGCCGTACACGAGTACAGTACTGACTGTCATCATACGTATGGAAGCAAAAACTCGCATGGACTATACCTTCATAATCCTCACGGCACAAGGCATGTGAACCACATGCTAGTCGGCGGGTCATCACAAAACAGCATGGAGCATCTTTCTTGGGCTTCCTCAGTATGTATTCCTTCTCTGTGGGCAGACGGCGACAGGGAGGATCGGTCCAACGCAAGGGCATTCAGCTGCTGCAGGATATGATCCGCAACAGCCCGCCCTGGTGGTGATAAACTATGAGCACATCGCTCTGTCGGTGGCTCATATAGAAGTCTATTTTCCTCCTCGGACCGCTGTGTTCGCCGTTCGTCTGGCAAGAAAGAGGGAGATCCGTCAGTGGTTGCCGTAGGTGTATGCCCAATGCCGCATGTGGGACATGCTAGGAGAGGATCTGGAGGGTGATGGCACCAGGGATAGTCCACGCAGTAAGGACACATACTTTCTATGACAGCTTCCTGGAAGCATTGACGACACATGGCATGTGGCTGACATGTCATTAGTATGGAAGGCTGGCGTGTACAGTTATTTAAGCATGGCAGGTCAAGGCCACAACGGCATGCTGGGCAAGTAATCAGGGGTTGGGGGGGGTGAGCACAGGACTGGGGATCACAATTTTCATGTGAGAGGCTAGCAGCGACCATCCCCTCATAGTGTTCGGGGCAGAGGCTATGTCGTGTACATGCCAACTGAACTGTACCTGTGCGACGACACAACGGGAGGGCACAGGCATCATCCTGTGGAGAGGTCCTTTCACTGTTTGTGGTAGAATCAGCAGGATTGCTCTCCGGGGGGTGCAGCGCTTGCAAATGCTCATCGACATACTGTTCCTGATGGATGAGCCAGACTGAGTGACCCTCCAGCATTTGGTGATAGAAAGAGTTAATATTTTCCACTGTGTGCACCCTACCGCCATTGTCCCATAGGGTCCATGAACTATCTGCAAAGGTGAGAGCACTGAAGTGACCTGGTCGATATAAGATATATGCCCGAATATTCGGATCCGTGCCTGGCTCTTGGTTTTGCGGAGCAGGCTGGAATTGCAGTCGCCTACCCATAAATGCCATAGCCAGGACTTCTATGTTCACCCCAGGCGCAGCGCTGTCGTCGTCTGGGCAGACGGCACGGTGCTCTTCTTCTATCCAGCGAACAACGTCTGCGAAATCAGCAACAGTATAAGCATTACAATTGTAAGCAAGAAATACATTAATGGCATAGTACGCACAGCGCCCTTGCTGTAGCGCTATGACATTGTCTGATTCCGCAGGTTGCGTGGAGGATCCGTTTACGGCAGGGGGGTCCTCGTTCAATTCTGCAGGTTGCCCAGGTGGCGGAGACTCGTTGTGGTCTTGACCAATTGGCTCCCTTATGTGCTCCGGAGAGAGATGATCTTCAACCGGGGGCTCCTTCAGGTAATCAGGAGACGGGCCATAGTCATTTGGGGCAGGGGAGCGAGTGGGGCTAGGTGGATGAGAGAGGGGCGGGTCAGGTGGGTGAGAACCGGGTGGACCAGATGTGGGAATCGGAAGCTGATCAACCTCACTTGTGCTTAGGGCGGCTGCTAGTCGTGCAAACGCTGTGCAAGTAGCTGCACCTCGTGTCTGGTGCACTCGTAAGCCTGCAGCACTGAATAAATCATCGCCGCATTGCGGGCATCGGACTCGATGTGCACTATTCCTCGCTAGTGTATACTGAAAGCGACGATGTCGTTCCGTACGGTTGTGAGCATGTCGTCAGAGCAGATCTCTAACCCCTGCAGGGGGCGCGGTGATCATGCCATTCAACGACAAACGAGGCCGCTGTCTTGGAGGCTGTTGTGGAGACGGGGAACGTCTCCGCCGAAGAGGCATCTGTAATGATCGATCTAACAACGGATACATCGGCTGACAGGGCCTTTGTGAAGGCCGATCTGACCATGAGTGCGTTGATGATGAGGAGGTCGATGATGAGGAAGTAGAGGAAGAAGTAGGGGAAGAGGAAGAAGAAGATGATGATGATGCAGATGACTGAGAGGATGCTGCAACAGAGGACGTCGGTGGGGATGGCGGTGATGATGGCGGTGATGGTGCTGATAATGATGGCAGTGGTGGTGGTGGTGGTGGTGGTGGTGGTGTGTGTGTGTGTGTGTGTGTGTGTGTGTGTGTGTGTGTGTGTGTGTGTGTGTGTGTGTGT